TGCCTCTGCCTCCCGAGTGCTGGGATTAAAGGCGTGCACCACCAACGCCCGGCCGAGGACAACTGTATTTGAACTACAACACTGGGTTGTTTTTCTTCTCTGAGATATTTTTCTCCTAAATCCTCATTGCCTTAATAACTATCAGATGCCTTTTAAAGAGCACATTCCATCTTTTCCTCCCCACTTCTTCTAGTTAGTCAGAGCAGAATAAATCCAAAACAATGATCTATTCCTCTACTTCCATAAGTAGAACTTCCCCTGCTAGAGAGTATGCACTTGGAAGGTTGAGGCAGGATTGGTAGTTTGAAGCCAGTCTGGAATACAGAGTAAATTTCAGTCCAGTTTGGGATAAAAGTCCTTCCTCAAAACTAAATATTGCCTAGGCTGACCTTGACCTCACTGTGTACCCAAGGCTGGCCTTATACTCCTTGATCCTCCTGCCTTATATACTAAGTGATGAGATCACAGGTATTCACCAACATGGCCAGCAAGCACCCAGCATAAACTCTTCATAAAACCGAAAGGGCTCTTAGTGTTGGTGAGGATGTAGCCAGATAATGAAAGACCTCGGCATCAAAGCGCCGGGCACTGAACCAAACCCTCTGCCCAAGAACCGGGGCCAGACCACTGGCTGCAAATGCAAGAGGTGATTTATTGAGTACACAGGCGCCTGCGGATGCTACTGCAACTCGGGTGCAGAGCAAACCGGGCTTGTAGGGAGTACAATATTTATACATAAGTAACAGGCATTTCATTGGTTCATCTTGGGGGCAGGGGTAGTTCCCACGGACAAAGTTTCCTGGTATTACTTTATGAAAGACCCCGGCACGCTTCAGCAATTATTATCCGGGTCCCATGACTACCATGGTGATCATAGACACAACTGGGGGCAAGGGTAGTTGCCAAGGACTAGGTTTTCTAGTATTGTCATATGAAAGTTCCCAGCACGCTTCAGCAATTATTATCCGGGTCCCATGACTGCTACCACAGACATCCTGTTTTGAGGGTGAGACACCTGGTCTGGGTTTCTTTCATTAGGCAAGTATGTGAGAGTATATATAGGCCTTGCTTTTCTTTTCCTAGGGGGTCCTGGGTAGAGGTCTTTCATTCCCCCCTTGTTCTTGTGCATAGGTAGAATCTTTTACCTATTGTCCAGCCCTCTCTACTTAAGGTTTACTTATGGTTCCATATGTTTGAGGGCATGGTATTGTTGAGTTAGGACTAAGGCTTGAATTATTGTTTGTGAATGTAGGGCCCAAAGGTTGGGAGGCCCATAAGAGTAGAGACTAGTGTAGCGAACCAGGGATATTTGTTAAACCAACCCTCATATCAGTATTGTTGGGATTTAAATTTTTTCTGACACACAGTTAGCCTCTCCTTGAGTTTATCCAGAGTTTTGGTTACTACCCCAGTCTTGTCTGCATAAAAATAACATTCCTCTTTGAGAGTGGCACATATGTCTCCCTCTCTTATTATACTGTTCCCAATGTAAGGGAATTTTTTTTTCTTTTGACTTAGCATCTCAACCAGGGAAAAGAAGACGATGTATTCCTTTCCATGCTACTTCTTGCTGACTTTGGGACGAAGTTAGGGGACCCAAGAAGGCTGAAATGCAAGTCAAAAGCAAAAAGGGAATTTAGGTAATGGGGTATCTATCCAGGAGCAGCTGATTGGCCGACTGTGTTGAAGAGACAGGGGTTGTCCACATCAGCTGAACTGGTTCACATTCACAGCAAGTCTAGGGCTCGCAGTCTTTAGGAACAGGCTGTGGTCAGCAACTGATGTTCAGATGTGTTTGCCAGAAGTGGAAACCTGTTTAAGACATGTTTAAAACTGGGAACAGAAGTTAAAACTTATGTATTTAATTGGAACTCTTTAGGCCCATTAGTATTAGTGATCAGGAAGGTCAGGAATCCCATGACCAGGAGAGAAAATCTCATTCTCAGGAACAGACAGGTGGGATAACTGGCTGTACTTATCTGGAGTCCTCTTTGACCTGTGAGAAGTGGATCCAAGCTGTATGACTTTTGATCCTCTGAAGCCTATATAAATTTTGTTATACAAAAGGACATAAAGGTTATAGGTACAGTAGCATTATCAATTGGTACTGAAATCTATACTAGAAAACCTAGTCCTTGGCAACTACCCTGGCCCCCAATTGTGTCTGATCACTATAGCAATCATGGGACCCAGATAATAATTGCTGAAGCGTGCTGGGAACTTTCATATGACAATACTAGAAAACCTAGTCCTTGGCAACTACCCTTGCCCCTAGTTGTGTCTATGATCACCATAGTAGTCATGGGACCCGGATAATAATTGCTGAAGCGTGCCGGGGTCTTTCAATAATAGAATCTGGGGAGAGGGATAGAGAGTTGGAGACAGTGAGTGAACATGGTTGAGTACTACTATTGCTTTTCAAGACAGGGTTTCTCTGTACAACAGCCCTGGGCATAACTGGAACCCAGTCTGTAGACCAGCTTGGCCTTGAACTCTCAGAGATCCTCCTGCCTTGCCTCTTGAGTGCCGGGATTAAAAGGATGCGCCACCACAGCCTGGCTAGAACCATGTTTCTTATTGTCATTTTACCATGTTAAAACTGTAAGTCCTTATTACCTACACTCTCACATACTCTTTTTTCAAAATTTATTATTTTTATTTATGTATGCATATATGGGTGTGTGGCTAAAAGAACAAATAAGATACCCTGGAGCTGGATTTGCAGGCAGTTGTGAACCACCTTATATGGGCACTGGGAACTGAATGGAAAGCAGTGTTTGTAATTATTAAGCTGTTTTCCAGCTTCCTGTATTTTCCCTTTAATATTTCTTCGTACCATATCTCCTTGACCCAGTATTTTGTTTAACTACAGGGAATTTCAGACAATTACTTTATTTGGCCAATATCCAAATCCAAACCTAAGACAGCTCTGAAGAACAGCACTGAGGGAATTATGTAAGTGGCAGACACAAATGTTTAGATGTAAGGAAAAGACTTTTACTTCCTGAAAGTATTCCTTTATTTAAATGTTAAGAATTACCTAATCAGATCTTATATGATGAATAACATCACACAGTTATTTAGACACAGGTAAGCATAAACTGCAGATAGAACTCTTTAGGAAATAACATGTATTAAGGACACAAGACACAAAACTAGTAGGAGTTAGAACTATAAAAAGACATAGTGGCCGGGCGTTGGTGGCACACGCCTTTAATCCCAGCACTCGGGAGGCAGAGCAGGCAAATCTCTGTGAGCTCGAGGCCAGCCTGGTCTACAGAAAGAGTTCCAGGACAGACTCCAAAACAATATAGAGAGATCCTGAAAAACCAAAAAAAAAAAAAAAAAAAAAAGAAGTGACATAGTGTTTCTAGCTTACCCATCTACCCAAACAGCCTTCTCCCAAATCAAGCTAATTTGGAGGATACTCTCTGCTCCTATTATACTGTTGCCCCCTTCCTCTCCTCTCCCTTACATTTTTTGGTTTCCTTGTCTCTCTAAATATGAGTTTAACTGTCATTCTAATCAACTCTGCTCTTGCCTGCACACTAGCTTTCCGAGGAATTCCTTTCTTTTTTTTTTTTTTTTTTTTTTTTTGGTTTTTCAAGGCAGGGTTTCCCTGTGTAGCTTTGGAGGCTGTAGACCAGGCTGGCCTCGAACTCTCAGAGATCCGCCTGCCTCTGCCTCCCAAGTGCTGGGATTAAAGGTGTGGGCCACCAACGCCCGGCTCGAGGAATTCCTTTCTATTTGCGTATAGGTCAGTCTTTTCAGAACTGGAGTATTTAAATCCAGTCACTGAAGATAGATGGTCACACAGACGTCTAATCTTAGCACTCTGGAGGCCAATCCAGGAGGACAACCTGGACCACATACAGAGACTCTGTTTAACAAAACCAAAACAGGGCTATGGCTGTGGGTCACTTAGTAGATTGTTTGCCTACCAAGCCTTGGGCTCTGTCCCCAGAGCTGGCCTCAAACTCACAGAGATCCACCTGCCTGGGTGTGCCTGTAATCTCAATACTGTGGAGGCAGAGGCAGATGGGTCTCTGTGAGTTCATGTCACCCTGGTCGACATAGCTCCAGGACAGACAGTAAGGGCTACATAGAGAGTGCCTGTCTCAAACAAACACACAAGAATTCAAGGTCATTCTCAGATCAGAGTGAGTTTGAGGCCAGGCTTTGGAGGCTGTCCTGGAACTCGCTCTGTAGACCAGGCTGGCCTCAAACTCACAGAGATCCACCTGCCTCTACCTCCCAAGCGCTGGGATTAAAGGCGTGTGCCACCAATGCCCGGCGAATACGGACCATTTTAAATTCCACATGCCAACAGCAGACACGCACCCAGTTAGCTCTGAATTGCATTTTTTTTTTATTTCTAGACAGGGTTTCTCTTTGTAACAGCCCTGGCTGTCCTAGAACTCCCTCTGTAGACCAGGCTGCCCTTGAACTCACGGAGATCTGCCTGCCTTTGGCTCCTAAATGCTGGGATTAAAGGTGTGTGCCACCACTGCCCGGTTGTTGTCCGTTTGTTTAAAGATAAAATATGTCATTTACATGGCGGGGGCGTGGTACAATGTGGTGTAAATTATACATACATAATGTATATGCTTATAAATTGTATATATATTACATATAAATTACATAGAACTTGCTCGCCCTTATATAACTGTGTAAACTGGCAGCTTCAAAAATCAATTCAGGAGCCGGGCGTTGGTGGCTCACGCCTTTAATCCCAGCACTCGGGAGGCAGAGGCAGGCGGATCTCTGTGAGTTCGAGGCCAGCCTGGTCTACAGAGCGAGTTCCAGGACAGCCTCCAAAGCCACAGAGAAACCCTGTCTCGAAAAACCAAAAAAAAAAAAAAAAAATCAATTCAGGGCCTCAGTAGTCTCGCGATATTTTCCTGCCCCCTCTCTCCGGACTCTTCCGCCGGCGGGAAAATCCCGGAAATGACCGCACGCTCTACGGCAGCGATTGGTCGGAAGTGACGTTGCCGTCCCAGACTCCTCGGAGAAGGAGACTCGCGCACTTGCTGCTCCATGCGGAGAGGCGTGGGACGACTTGGCCGCGTGGTCCAGCAGCTCCCGGGGAGGCGAACGCGTTTGCGCCCTCGCCTCTGAGGCCTAGCGGGCCTTCAGTGGCCGAGAGGTTAGGTTTCTGCAGTGGGGTGAGAGCTCGCGGCCGACCGCACAGCGCGGTGACCCGGCCTCACCATGTTGGTCCTGTTTGAAACGTCCGTGGGCTACGCCATCTTTAAGGTAGGTCAGATGGAGGTGTTGGACCGAAAGGCTTGTTGGACAGTCAGGGAGTGGGATAAGACTTACAGAGAGGTCGAAACAGCGGAGCACATTTGAATGTCAAATTTCAAGTTCCCGGGCTCCGAGAGGATGTGAAAAGTCAAGGGCCGGGAGTTCAAGAGAGGTGAACACGTGGCTCAGCGGACTCTGCTTCAGAGGGATTTGCTCGGCTTAAAAAATGGACTGCACCCATATTGCAAGTGACGATTAAGCGCTCATTTAATAAGATATTCACGGTAGAAATAAGTCCTTGTAAAGCCAGCTCCCTGTCACAGAACTATACCCCCCAACGTAAATCAATTATTATTTATGCATCTAGCTGTGCACTTTGTTTTTCCAGACGGGTTTCTCTGTAACTTTGGAGCCTGTCCTGGCACTCGCTCTGCAGCCCAGGGCGACCTCGAACTCACAAATATGTGCCTGTTTCTGCCTCACGAGTGCTGGGACTAAAGGCGTGCGCCACCAGCGCCTGGCCATTCATCCATTTATTGAGGATCCTGCTATTTGCCTCGGCTGACTCGAAACACTATTTAGACCAATTAGATTAAAGCCCGAGCCCACGATCAGGGTCCTTCCAGGCATGATTGGAAGCTATTGAGTAGTGACTTAGTGTAATTTGTCTTTTTATGAGGTTACTTTTATTTGGTGACGATAACAGGAGGACATGCTTTAAAAAGACGACATGGGTGTTAGTCTCAAACCCAGGACAAATGCCTGAGTTACCTGTAATATAAGAGCTGACTCTGGCCGCCAGTTGGATGTATACTACAGAACTGAAAGCGAGTTTTTCGTTTAGGAAGGTTGTCGGCACTGGTGCTCATGATTTCCAGTTTGGGTTGTGTGAGGCTTGTCGATAAGCCGTGGTGATGAAATTGTGTAAATCAGGGAGTTCATAATTTGAAGCTTTGGTGAGAAATATGATGGGTGCTATCAACTTTAGTGTTCTTTGTTTAAATAGGGAAAAGTTTTATGAATTAGCTACAAGTTTGTGGTCATAGAAATGATAGAACGGTGGTGTTTTCCTACACCGATGCTACTGACATGGGGAGCCATGAGGTAGAGTGAGGACTCTGCTAGGCAGTCTTCTCAACTCTACTAATAGAGAATTTTCATTTTTCTAAATTTATGCGTTAGTATAGGGCAAAAAGCACTACATAGAACAGTGCCTAACAACAGGCCGGTGTTGGTGGCGCACACCTTTGATCCCAGCACTGGGGAGGTAGAGGCAGGCGGATCTCTGTGAGGTAGAGTACAGCCTGGTCTACAGAGCGAGTTCCAGAACAGGCTCCAAAGCAATACAGAGGAACCCTGTCTCGAAAAACAAAAAACCCTGTGCTTGTTTGTTTTAATATGTGGTCTCTACAAGCCATGGCTGCCTGGAATTCAGAGATCCACCTACACCCCTGTCTCCTGAGTCTGGGATTAAAGCTGTGTACTTCCCAGCTAGAGATTACCTTTGATTGAGTGTGTGTGTCTGAGAGGATCTCATGTGTCTGAGGCTGACCTCAAATTTGCAGTGTAGTTTAGGATAACCCAATTTTGGCCTTCTAATCCTTCTCCCACCTTACCAATGCTGAGATTAGAGATATGCTCCCCCACATCTGGTTTTTATGTAGTACTGGGAAGCCAACCAGCAACATGCTAGGTAAGCACTCTTTTTCTTTTTTCTTTTCTTTTTTTTTTTTGGGTTTTTTTTTTCCGAGACAGGGTTTCTCTGTGGCTTTGGAGGCTGTCCTGGAACTAGCTCTTGTAGACCAGGCTGGCCTCGAACTCACAGAGATCAGCCTGCCTCTGCCTCCCGAGTGCTGGGATTAAAGGCGTGCGCCACCAATGCCCGGCCCTAGGTAAGCACTCTTACCAAATGAGCTAACATATTCAGTCCTAGGACTAAATTTAAATATCAGCAAATCCTTAACAGCAAAGTTCCTTAATAATTGAAATTCTTTTCATGAAAAATGTCTGAGATTATAAATGTTAATGTGTGACTGTGTTTGTTTTGTCTTTTTGGAGACAGGGTTTCCTCTCTGGGTCTGTAGACCAGGCTAGCCTCAAACTCGAGATCTGTCAAGTGCTGGTATTAAAGTTGTGTGCCACCATCACCTGACCTTGTGTGACTGTTGTATGGTCTGATAATTACCGACTGTATTGCTGTAAAATTATATGCATAACTGTATATTATCTTGTGTCATGATTAACATGTTCTTTTACAGTGCCAGTTAGATAAATGAGTCATTGTAAAACATCCCAATTTCAGGGGTGTTTGATAATGGGAGTGGTAGATTTGAGGATTGATCTGCCTTATCCTGTTCTTGGAGTTGCTTTATCAGAGTATTGGTGTTGAAACAAAAATCTTTAATTTGCTTTTGATTTTATATGAACCCATATAAAGAAAGTCTCTGTAGTGGGCCAGAGGATGTAGCTTAGTTGATAAGAATGCTTGCCTAACATGCACAAAGCATAAACTGGGTATGGTGGCACATAACCTATAATCCAGTACTACAGGGGTCAGGCAAGGGTTTATTTTTAATTATGTATATATTTGTGTGTGCACATGTTGAGTACCGGTACCTGAGGAGGACAGAGTCACCCAATAAATAACCCTGAAACTGGAGTCACGGGCTTTTAATGATCCACCGTATGTAGGTGCTGGAACCTGACTTGAGTCCTAGAAGAGTAGTAGTACATGGCTCAGCGGTTAGGAGCACTAACTGTTCTTCCGGAGGTCCTGAGTTCAATATCCGGCAACCACATGGTGGCTCACAACCACCTTGAATGAGATCTGGTGCCCTCTGCTGGCATGCAGTCAGAAGACTGTATACACAATAAATAAATAAAATATTTTTAAAAAGAGTAATATGTTTAAGAGCTTAGGGAAAATATAGAATCAACTTTGGGGCAGAAAAAATACAGGAAGGGTTCTCAAAGACTGCAATGAGGTTTCCTATTAATTTGACCATAACTTATACTTTGTAAGAACTAGCTCATTATAATAAGAGAAGCATATTTCTCCAAAGCTACAGAGAAACCCTGTCTCGAAAAACCAAAAAAAAAAAAAAGAGAGAGAAGCATATTTATTTCTCTGCTGGTATTTTTCATGGATGGTTATAACTTGAAGAGTGTAGCTGTTATGCCTAAACTCCCAATTGAAGAAATCTGGTTTATTGCAGGTACTGAATGAGAAGAAACTTCAAGAGGTTGATAGTTTGTGGAAAGAATTTGAAACTCCAGAAAAAGCGAATAAAATGTAAGTAATATTGAATCTAAGGATTTGGGCATTTATACTAGTTTGTGGGTATCTCCCCTTTGGATGTTATTTTCAGCTTACTGGGTTTTAGAACATAGGTTGTCACAGTTTTGTATTAGAGACTACAGTGGACAATGCCCCAAGATTATGTTTTTATGAGATATTTGAAGGCATGCTATATCATTAAGTATAATCCTTTTAAAAGCACTAATTGTAGATGGACAGTGGTGGCACAAGCCTTTGAACTCATTACTAGGGAGGCAAAGGCAGGCTGATCTCTGAGTTCAAGGCCAGCCTGCTGCATAGAGTTCCAGGACAGCCCTAACTATTACACAGAGAAACCCTGTCTCAGAAAAAAATCAAAAGCAAACCAAGGGGAGGGGGCAGTAATTGTACAGATCAAGGAAGAATTTTAGCTTTTGTGGCAGTTTCTAACTCTATAGTGTATTAGTGTATTCATCTTCCATGATTTATTCCTAGCTCTAGGGTATGATATGTTAATTAGGTTGTAAATCCTTGAAGGGTATACCATGTTTGACAAGAAAGTAATATCCAATAGTAACTAAGTAGGTTAAGAGATAATGGGTTTAGTCAGGGTTGCTGTTTCACCTCGAATCACCTTGTGTAATAGCCTACTAGGTAAATGTGGTACTTGTGGATTAGGAGGGATCCTGTCCATGGATGTACATAATTTGGTCATTCATCTGCTACTGCTAATAAATGCAAAACAATGATAATCCAGAGAAAGGGCAAAATGAAATGTAATCATATCATTTGTGATGTTCCATCAGCAGTAGCATTACTGATTGGATTTAGAGATGTTCTTGATACACTGAGGAAAATGAAGCTTCAGAGTAATTGACTATTAAGCATTAGCGATTTATGTCTTTCTGGATCCTTGAACATTTAGACATGTTCTGAGAGATGTAGATGGCTCTTTGTATACATGTAGAAACCAGGTTAGAATAGGGTCTAAAAAAAGGTAAGATTAGGACTTTGGGGAGGTGTTTTTTTTTTTTTTTTTTTTTTTTTGAGGCAGGGTTTCTCGGTGTAAACAGTCCTAGCTGTCCTGGAACTAGCTCTTCTAGGCCAGGCTGGCCTCAAACTCACAGAGATCCATGTGCTTCTGCCTTTTTCGAGTGTTGGGCTTAAAGGTGAGTGCCATCATCACCCAGCAGTACTGTGTGCTTTCAAGTGCATTTGATGGGCTAAACCAGCATTTACCTTCCCAGGTAAGAAAACCTCATTTTAGCTAACACTTTTTTAGGCATATAGAAGACTTAATTTTTCTATTTTAAGAGAATCTAATCTGTTTTGCTCAGTTAATCTTTATTCATTGTTGTCAATGATGTATTCCTTTTGGAACTGAGTCTTAAGTGATTTAATAATTTCGTCACTACCACTGAGACAGCAATGAATTTACTAACACATTTCTTTGTACAGAAAACATCATGATAAACTATGTAGGCAATAACGGAATGTGAGTCTGACAATAAGCTTTTTTCTTTTGAGGGGGTGGGAGGCAGGGTCTCACAAAGCTCTGACTGTCCTGGAACTCGGCTCCATCAGGGTGGTCTCACCAGAGATCCAACTGCCTCTGGAGCACTGGGATCAAAGGCATGCTCCCACCACCACTGGGCAGTGGGTTATTTTTCACTTGTACTTGGTGTTTGTCTAGTTGGTGGTGGTGATGCTAAAGATAGAGCTCTGGTCTTGGATGCACCAGATGATTGATACTCTAATATAGAACAAATTTTCCAACTTTTTTGTTTGTTTTGTTCTTTGTAGAGCTGGCTGGCCTGGAACTTAATATGTGAGCTACATTGGCCTTGAACACACAGATCCTCTTGCCTCCCAACTGCAGGGATTAAAGGCACATGGAAGCTTACCCTGCTTTTGGGAGGGGGTTCTAGACAGGGTTTCTCTGTATTGTTTTGGAGGCTGTCCTGGAACTCGAGATGTAGACCAGGCTGGCCTCGAACTCATAGAGATCCGCCTGCCTCTGCCTCCGGAGTGCTGGGATTAAAGGCATGCGCCACCACCGCCCAGTTTACCCTGCTCTTTTATTTTTTATTTTATTTGTTTGTTTTTTGAGACAGTGTTTTTCTGTGGCTTTGGAGGCTGTCCTGGAACTCACTCTGTAGACCAGAGTGCTGGGATCAAAGGCTTGCACCACCACCACCCAGCCCTGCTCTTTTATTTTTGTTTATTTTTTAAATAAGTTGAAGCAATATTTAAGTAGTTACCTGCACTGGCCTTGACTTTGTGATCCTCTTGTGGCAGCAGGAATTAGATACGTGTCACCACATCTCCCAAGTTTGTTTTGCTTAGTGTATGCTGTACACATTCAGCGTCTCTTTTCTGGCTATATACCTTTTCAGAATAACTGTTCCAATAATGTATTTGTTCTCTTTCCATTCTAGAGTAAAGTTAAAACATTTTGAGAAATTTCAGGATACAGCAGAAGCATTAGCAGGTAAGTAAGAGGATAGAGAATTTTCTTCCTTTTTTTACTTTAAAAATTTGGCCTTTTCTTTTTATTAAAAGGTTGTTTTCTTCAGTTGCCTGAGTTAATCTTACTCAATGTTGTCAATGATGCATCCTTATTGGAACTGAATTTAAGTGATCTAATCCATTCGTCACTACCACTGAGACAACATTGAGTTAGCTTTTTTCACCATAGGGCTGGTTTCCCCCATGTGATGAGAGATGACAAGTGCTTAAATTGATCTCCCTGTGGAAACCAATAGCCTAATGCTGAAGCACAGTTCAGTAAAAGCTGTTCTACAAGGGACCAAGGTAATGTGGTCATGTGCCCAGTCTAATGCTTGTATTAATTTAATTCAGGGGGAAAATCGAGCATAGCTCCCTGAAATAACAGGTGCTAATAAAAAGCTCTCCACAAGCCGGGCAGTGGTGGCGCACGCCTTTAATCCCAGCACTCAGGGGGAAGAGGCAGGCAGATCTCTGTGAGTTCGAGGCCTGGCTGGACCGATAGCCTCCAAAACAATACAGAGAAACCCTGTCTTGTAAAAAACAAAATGAAAGCTCTCCACTGTGTAAAAGCATATCAATATTCAACTGAGGGGAAGTAGAATTCTTTAAAATATGAATAAAATCGGCCCCATGATCAGTGAACAGGCATGTTCTGTGTCACTAATAAGCTGATTGTTTGATATAATTTGAGAACAAAGGACTAAAAATTAATTAAGACTAGACAAGATTTTTGTTTATTTGGGTTTTGTCGTATGCTTGATTAGTGTTGTTTTGTGCTAATGAATTGCTCAAAGTCTTTAAATCAGTCCTGTGAAAGAAATATTATTTGTTATAAATGGCAAAACACAGAGAAGGTTTATAATAAACTTTTTTTTTTTTTGGTTTTTCAAGACAGGGTTTCTCTGTATTGTTTTGGAGTCTGTCCTGGAACTAGCTCTGTAGACCAGGCTGGCCTCAAACTCACAGAGATCCTCCTGCCTCTGCCTCCTGAGTGCTGGGATTAAAGGTGTGTGCCACCAACGCCCGGCTTATAATAAACATTTTTAAGTGAGGAAAATAATTGAACTTTGTTAGGAGTGCCATCATGGAAACTTCTAAAATTCCTTATCTGATAAAATGTTTTGTCAAATAGGTCAGTTTTTTCATAGTAGTTAATTATCTATGTCTCATAAGGCAGTTTTTTTTGGGGGGGGTTATCTTGACAGGTGTATGTAGCATAAGATAGCCTTGCAACTGAATTTCTGGTCTTCTGCTTCTACCTTCGAAGTAGTAGAGATTAGACCCAGCACTCCAACTAGCAATATCCCAGGTCCCATGAAGAGTTGGTGTAGGGGAGCAGATATATATGCCATGATATATACATGAAAATGAGAGAACAATTTCGTGATTTCACTTCTCTCTTTTTATCTTTACATGGAATCCGGGAACTTGATTTAGTTATGCAGGGTTGAGTGGCAAGCATTTTACCTGCTGAACCATCTCTCTGGTCTTATAAAGCAGTTTGGCCAAAGCTAAGTAACTAACTTTAGAGTCTTGTGGGCTGTGATTAATATATCAGAAGTTCATACATGGTATTTATTCCTCTAACATTGGGCAACTAGTGAGAGTTCTCTTCACCACAGTAGGTTCAAGGGGTCCAACTTAGGTGCTCACTAAGCTGCCTGCACACCAAAAGAGGGCATTGGATCCCATGGGGTTACAGTTACAGAGGGTTGTGAGCTGCCGTGTGGTTGCTGGGAATTAAACTCAGGACCTCTGGAAGACCAGCCTGTGCTCTTAACCACTGAGTCATCTCTCCAGCCCCCTGAAGCTATTTCTTTGGCCCCTCAACCAAGACAGTTTCTGGTCTCAAGCTGGAGATCGCCCTCTTCCGAGAGCTGTGATTAAAGGCTTGAGGCGCCACACCCAATTTATGAAGTCAATTTCTTAAAATATGAGATTGTTTTTTATGAAATGATGACTATTTCCAGTTGCTAACCTGGAATAAAATCTAGAGTTAGTCTAGTATAGGGATTTTGTACTTAGAAAAATATATATTTAGGGGAAGGGTTTTTGTGCTTGGTTAATTAAAATGGGTGTCACTAATTACAAACTAAAAACGCTGGATAGTTGTTCCTCTTCCAGAGGAGCCTAGCACTCACTTGGCAGTTTACAGGTGTTTGTAATCCAGTTGCAGGGAATCTGCTGTCTTCTGGCCTCTACAATCGCCAGAAAAGCGAGTAGTGCACAGATATAAAAGTAAGGAAAGAATAAAAGGAAGCAGTCTGTTAGAACCAGTGTATACAGCATTAAAAGGTGGAATGAAATAGACAGGTGTAATAGAACACTCCTAGATCACAGCACTTGGTTCATAAGCTTAACTCCAATCCTCCTGCTTCTCTGCCTCTGAAATGTTGGGTTCAAAGTGTACATCACTATGAGTGGCATTTAGGACTGGGTTTTATAAAACATATACATTGGTGTTTTCAAGACAGGATTTCTGTGTAACAGCCCTGGCTGTCCTGGATTCTCTTTGCAGACCAGGCTGGCCTGAAACTCAGAGATCCACCTGCCTCTGCCTCCCAAGTGCTAGGATTAAAAGCGAGCACCAACACTGTCTGGTCGTGGGTCATTTTCATTTCAAAAGAAATCTTTGGACCTTTTCAAAGGAAATATTTGCTTTAAAGTTTACATGAGAAGAGCTCTCATAGTTATAATACATATTTTTCTGTTTTCCTGAAAAGCATTTACAGCTCTGATGGAGGGCAAAATCAACAAGCAGCTAAAGAAAGTGCTGAAGAAAATAGTAAAAGAAGCCCATGAGCCCCTGGCTGTGGCTGATGCTAAACTAGGAGGGGTGATAAAGGTAAGAGCCATGGCTCTTCTGTGCCTGTAAGTGCTGCGGAGCTTGCTCTCTGTTCTAGGTTGTCACAAGTTCTCATAATCAGTCTTTTTCCTTTAGGCAGCATAATAAGCTCCAGTAGAGTTGCAGAAATAAGTATTCCCTGTACGTTATAGAGAATAAAGATGAACAAAAAAGGAATAAAGTAAGCACTAACCCTGTTAGTATCTATTAACATTGTATGATAACCCTCACATAAAACATTTTTCCGTTCAGTAAAGATGTGTTCATTGGATGTTTTTAGTGGCTGATATAAACTAAAAGAGGGAGACCGTTAAGTGAATTATGGTGGTCCAAGCCTGTAATGACTTGTATATTATGAAATGGAGGTGGTCTGTATCAAGGAGCTAGTGAATAGATGTGGACAGATAAAAGTAGTTTAGTTTGGTTTTGTTGTGTTTTTTTTTAATTCTATATCTTTATTTTTATTGTATGAGTATTTTGTCTTTGGGTATGTCTGTTTGCCATGTGTGTACGTGGTCCCTGTGGAGGTCAGAAAAGAACATGAGATCCTCTGGGTCAGGAGTTAGTTGCAGCTGCAAACCACTGTGTGGGTGGGTGTGGGGAATTGAACCCCAGACCTCTTCAAGAGCAGCCATCTTTCCAACCAATCATTGGTTTTAAAACCAATAATTTGGTTTTAAAAGACCAAATTATTTCACAATCCAGTGTGGTAGCACATGCTTGTCATTCCAGGATGCTGGGGGCAGGATTGCTACTTAGAGTTTGAAATCAGTCTGCTATATTAGTAAGTTCTTTTTTGGGTTTTTCGAGACAGGGTGTCTTTGTATTGTTTTGGAGACTGTCCAGGAGCTCACTCTATAGACCAGGCTGGCCTCGTTTTAGTAAGTTCTTAAGAGAGTCACTCTGAAAAACAACAGGAAAACCTTTTCATCTAATGTAAATGTTCTTACAGGAAAAATTGAATCTCAGCTGCATCCATAGTCCTGTTGTTAATGAACTTATGAGAGGAATTCGATCGCAAATGGATGGCTTGATTCCTGGGGTAGAACCACGTGAGATGGCAGCCATGTGTCTTGGATTGGCACACAGGTAAGATTTAGAGACAAATTAAGAATGCTCACTGTTTTGTTTTTTTTTCTCACTATTTTTCTATTTATTTAAACTAGAAACATGTAAACTTGCTTTACATGTCAATCCCAGCTCTCCCCTCCCCCGATTGCTCACTTTTATGTATAGATTTAAGTGTACTATACTCAATGTTACCAGTATTCATTTTATATGAGGAAGATGCTACTCTTGCTCCTATGAAGAAACTTGCTCACCTTCAATATGGCTGATAAGTGATATAAACCCACAAAACCAAGGTTTATTTATTTTGTGTGTGGTGTTCTGCTTACATGTATGTCTGTAGGTCAGAAGAAGATGGTTTGAGCTACCATGTAGGTGCTGGGAATAGAACTTCTAGGACCTCTGGAAGACAGGCAGTACTCTTAATCTCTGAGACATCTCTCTAACCCCTATTGCCTATATTCTTTTTTTTTTTTTTTTTTGGTTTTTACAAGACAGGGTTTCTCTGTATTGTTTCGGAGGCTATCGGTCCCGCCTGGCCTCGAACGCACAAAGATCCACCTGCCTCTGCCTCCCGAGTGCTGGGATTAAAGGCGTGCACCACCACCGCCCGGCTTATTGCCTATATTCTTAAGAACAGCATCATAGGATTTCTTTTCCCCTGTAGTGTTGGACCATTGCTGTGGTCTGAGAGAACTTTATTTGCTTTGTGCATGGTGTGTGCTTAAGGCCAAAAGAAGTTGTCCTTTATCATTCTCCCTAACCCTCTGGGGCCATTTCCCTTAGAACCCGGGACACAGGATTCTGGAGCTGGCTAGAAATCAGTAGACCCATCAGTCTTCCTGTATTAGAGCTAGATTTTCTTACTTGTCTCCCCCCCCCAGACAGGGTTTCTCTGTGAAGCAATCCTATCTGTCTTGGAACTTGATTTGTACACTAGGCTGGCCTTGAACTCAAAGATCCGCCTGCCTCTGCCTCCCAAGTTACAGAAAGCCTGTTTTGGGGGAAAAAGGAAAGGGCTATGAGTATATTAAAAAATAGTTCAGCACTTAAAAAAAACAAGAAAGACCATTCTTTGTGTTAAAAATCAGAGATAGTCCCTCCAGCATTCATGTAAGGCTACAAATGTCTTCCAGAACCCACATAAAAATCCTGGGCTTGGCAGCACTAAAATCCCATGTAGGTCCCTGGAGCTCTTTTCCTAGCCTACTAACCTATGCTGAACCTTCCAGTCCAGTGAGAGGCCCTGCCATAGAAACAAGGTGGACCTCCAGCCTGGCCTCAAACTCAGAGAGATCCACCTGCCTCTGCCTCCCGAGTGCTGGGATTAGAGGCATGCACCACCACTGCCGGGCCTTAAAGTGCTTTTTAAAAATGTTATCTAATTTATTTCTCTTCATCTCCCCAGCCTGTCTCGATACAGATTGAAATTCAGTGCTGATAAAGTAGACACGATGATTGTTCAGGCAATTTGTAAGTATATGGCAGTCTGATCTGTTTAGTTCTGTTTTTTCCCCAGATGTTACAAATTTTGTCTGTTGAGAAAGATGCACTAGAATTTCAATGAGTAGATAATTGGGAAAGCAGAGTAGAAAAACAATTTAGTTTGACTCTTGTGAGATAATCTTGTTAATGCTGTATTGTACTGATTGATTTTGTTTTCCATGAATGATAAAACTGCAAGAAGAATCTGTAGTTGAGTGTTCTGTTTTTCACCTGACTTTTTTAGACTTCTCATGAATTAAACAATTTTAAGAAACAGACAGGTAATAAAAAATTGCTTTGACTGGCTAGACAGTGGTAGCACACGCCTTTGATCCTAGCACTTGGCATCACTCTGTGACTGAAACCAGCCTGGTCTACAAGAGTTAGTCCCAGGACAGCCTCCAAAGCCACAGAGAAACACTGTCTCCAAAAACCAAAAAAAATTTTGCCTTGACCAACTATTCTATTACTAAATGTGTATCATGGATTTAGTTTTTTTTTTTTTTGGTTACCACACCTATGTTCATATTATTATTTATACTATCTGAAAAGGAAAATTTTATCATTCAGTGGATAAACAAAATGTAGGCACAGATAGACTTTTTTATTTTTTTTACGAGACAGGGTATTATTTTGGAGGCTGTCGGTCCAGCCCGGCCTCGAACTTACGGAACAGATAGACATTTTAAAGGCCATTTGGCCTTTAAAAGGAATAACATGAAATACATGCCAAAATGAGGGAAACTTAACCTGTAAAAGGAGCCAAACAGTGCGGGAAGGACCAGGATTTAATTTCCAGAACCTATATAGTGGCTTACAACCATTCTTAATGCCCTCTTGAGGGGCATCAGGCATGAACAGAAAAGAGATGCCTAGAATTGATGTAGAAAGTTGTTTGAGATTCCTGGGAATTGGAGAAGAGCATATACACACACATCATTTGTGTGAAGGTCAGAGGCACCTTTTGGAAGTCTCGTTTCTATTTGTCATTCTGCCGAGTGGGTCTTGAGGATTGAACTTGGGTTGTTAGTCTTGACAGCAAGTGACTTCACAGACTAGGCTGTTATAAATGTCAGCAGTTTGTTTTTTGTTTGGTTGGGAATGAAGTCTCACTATGTAGTCCTAGCTAGCCTGGAGCTTGCAATGGAAACAATACTGGCCTTGAGTTTCAACATTCCCCCTACTTCTAGAATGCTGGTCTTAAAGATGTGTGTCAGCACACCTGGTTCCAAAGGTTGGGTTTTTGTTTTGTTTGTTTTGGTTTTCATGACAGGATTTTTGTAGCCTGTCCTGGAATTAGCTTTGTAGACCAGGCTGGCCTGGAACTCCCAGTGATTTGCCTGCCCCTTCCGAATGCTGGGATGAAGGACTGTGTGCCACCATCGCCTGGCCCCAGAGGTTGTTTTTGGAAGGCTGTAGGATTTTCAGTTTGGAGGGTAATGGAACTATTATGAAAACAGAATGGTATGAATCCACTAAATGCTTGAAAATGAATTCTTTGAGGCAATTTGTTATGTATGTTAACTTCTATCAATCTCTCATTAGATTTGTTTTTATTTCATTTTGCAGCCTTATTAGACGACTTGGATAAAGAACTAAACAACTACATTATGCGGTGTAGGGAGTGGTATGGCTGGCACTTCCCTGAGATGGGGAAAATTATTTCAGATAATTTAACATACTGCAGGTGTTTACAGAGAGTCGGTGAGTCAAATGTTTACCCTTTTAAGTTACTGAAAATAAATTAATATAACCCAGAATTGATACAGCTCAGTAGAATTGTAATACGCACTTAAGATTACTGAAGTTTTAAAAATTTCAAAGTGTAGCCATTTCATGTTTGTTATTTTATTTATGGGTTTTGTTTTTTGAGACAAGGTTTCTCTGTGGCTTTGGAGGCTGTCCTGGAACTAGCTCTTGTAGACCAAGCTGGTCTCGAACTCACAGAGATTCGCCTGTCCCTGTCTCCTGAGTATATTTGTTGTTTTAAAACTGAGCTTTAACTTTGATTTTTTTTTAAGTGACCTCCTTTTAAATATCTAACTTTACAAATACTAGATAGTGGCACTAGCTCCAAATGATCCCAACTGACCCAGATAACAAAATTACTGGGGGGTTTTTTTTTTTTTTTTTGGTTTTTTTTTTGTTTTTTGTTTTGTTTTTTCGAGACAGGGTTTCTCTGTATTGTTTTGGAGGCTGTCCTGGAACTCGCTTTGTAGACCAGGCTAGCCTCGAACTCACAGACATCTACCTGCCTCTGCCTCCCAAGTGCTGGGATTAAAGGCGTGCGCCACCAACGCCCGGCAAAATTACTGTTTATTAACCAGTATCCATCAATGTTGGCTTTCAAAGATAACAGCTTTCATTAGTTTGGGTTATGAGAAATCCAAGGCAACTGAGGTTCATTTATTGTTTTGGTTCTTCAAGGCAGGGTTTCTCTGTAGCTTTGGAGCCTATCCTGGAACTCACAGAGATCCACTTGCCTCTGCCTCCCAAGTGCTGGGGTTAAAGGCTTGAGCCGCCACCACCTGACATTTTATTTCTAGATCACTTTTTATAAGAAAAGCCAGAGTCAGGCTTGTTCACATTTATATAGCCACTAGTGGAGTTATATCTGGATGTATGTGCCCCTTCCCCCTTTGCTATTTTTATAATATCCAAGAATGATTCTGCTTCATCTTCTGAACATGCCATAGGTGACAGGAAGAACTATGCATCTGCCACTCTTTCTGACTTGCTGTCAGAGGAAGTAGAAGCTGAAGTGAAAGCAGCTGCAGAGATATCCATGGGAACAGAAGTTTCTGAAGAAGATATTTGCAACATTCTCCACCTGTGTACCCAGGTACGTTATCCCCACAGAGGCTGTAGTTGACGTCTATGTAGGTGTGTTAATGATTTACTGATGGCAATGATGATTTTTGCATTTATTGTTCACCTGACAATATATGAAGGTGTTCAGTCACTACCTCATCTGATGCCATCTTTTGTGTACGCTTAGGTGTGGTTTATGCAATAGGTAATAAAGTGAAGTAATTTATATTATGGGCAATAATTTTTGTTTGAGGGTTTGTTTTTTATGAGACACGGTCCCTACCTTGCCCTGACTGTTCTTAAACTCACTGTTGTGTAGACAAGGCTGGATTAGTATTTGCAGAGTTCTTCCTGGCTCCTGAGTATGGGATTAAAGGCATGCACCACCCCATCTATATTTTGAAGTGATTTAACCCAATTTCTTAAGACTACAAAGATATACCAATTAGATTGCTTAATTCTGAGTTTTTTGTAATTCTTCCTCAGGCTCCTGTGTGCTGAGGTTATGAGCATGCGCTAGCAGCTTAGCTCCCTAAGCCGGCCTCTAACTCCCATGCTCATGCAATCTTGCCCCAGCCATTGCAATATTGAGAACTGTCAGTAAGTTACCAGTGCATTTCTATATATATATCTATTGAAATCTGATATTTCCTTGACAGGGTTTCTCTGTATTGTTTTGGAACCTGTCCTGGAACTTTCTTGGTAGACCAGGCTAGTCTCAAACTCACAGAGATCCGCCTGCCTCTGCCTCCCAAGTGTTGGGATTAAAGGCATGTGCCACCAACGCCCGGCCAAAATCTGGTATTTTCAAAATGAATTATATACTCATAACATTTGTGACTTCCTCATTTAATTCCTCATTTTAGGTGATTGAAATTTCCGAATACAGAACTCAGCTGTATGAATATCTACAAAATCGAATGATGGCCATTGCACCTAATGTTACAGTTATGGTTGGGGAGTTAGTTGGAGCACGGCTCATTGCTCATGCAGGTGACGGTTTAATGTGATTTGTAAACAAGTGTGTGTAGCACTGCAGACTAAGGACCATGGTACAATGATGATTCCTGTTGCTTTGCCTGATTTCTTTTTGAATAATGAGGGCATCTTCAGTCACTACCTCTTCTGAAAGACTGTGGTCCTTGGTCAGAAGGCTAACAGTTCAGTATCATATTTTAGTCCTAAGTTCAAGCCTCAGCATCAGAAAAAAATTCATGAGACCAGGTTTTGAGTAAATTTTTTAATTTATAGTATTAGCTGGATGCATTTCTAGACTTGATCATAGCAAATCTCTTAAGCTGGAGTAATTCTTTCAGTAGTGTCAGTAATATCAGACAAATAGTCCATTCAAGTGCCCTTTGCTGTGAGGTTGTGGCACCTGTGCACTGTTGCTCTGATCTTTACCTCTTAACACAGCAGTAAGAGACATGCAGCCTAGCTGGAGTGTGAATCTGTACTCTAAGTGTATTTCTAATGATTGAGTTTGTACCATTAGTATTGTATTTCTAACTTCCTTAGTATACGTCAGGTGCATATCCTTTTTTAAAAAAATAATTTGTAATGTTATTCTGTGTGCATTGATGTAAGGTGTTCAATCCCCTCAGACTTGAGTTACAGACAGTTGTGAGTGCTGCAGTTGATCTAGGTTCTCTGGAAAGCAGCCAGTGCTCCCAACCACTGAGCCATTTCTCCTGCCCTAGAAATGTTTCTTAATTCACTTCCATAGGAAGGCTAAAACAAATATCAGCTTCATATCATTGATATGACCTAATGTATCTATAGAAACAGCATACTTGATTTTCAGAATCTTAGAAAATGGATCAAATTGCTAATGTTCCTATCACTCAGATTAACATGCGAATGAATGAGAATCTCAAGTTTCCAGTTCATAGCTTTCCTTGCACTCAGAATAATACGAAGCATTTAGGGTTTTCTGTGAATTAAATACTTTTCATATAGAACTTTTTATATACCTGAAAGAACTTTTTTTTAACCTTACTTTGTTTTTTATTATGTAGGTTCTCTTTTGAATTTGGCCAAGCATGCAGCTTCTACAGTTCAGATTCTTGGCGCAGAAAAAGCACTTTTCAGGGCCCTTAAATCTAGACGAGATACCCCTAAGTATGGGCTTATATATCATGCTTCTCTGGTAGGCCAGACGAGTCCCAAACACAAAGGGAAGGTGAGTTACAGTTTTTCCCCTTTTATTTCAAGATGTGTGTATGTACTGCTCTGCATGCCTGTACTCTGGTGCCGGAGGACATTAGATCCCTGGGAACTGGAGTTCCTGGTGGTGTCAGCTGCCATATGTATGGTGTCTATGTCCAAACTGTAAGATCAGCAAATGCTGTTAATATCTGAGCCATCTTTCCAGCCCCCGAACTGTGTTTTTTTCTAACTGTAATTACAGTGTACATTAAAACTTAGCTCCTTCAGCTTACTACAATATTTAAGTAAAAGGCATTTTTATACATTAAATGATAATTTGTAATTTGACCTATTGTTTGTCAAGAAAACCAGTCTATTAGATGTAGCATATATATTGTGCTTAACTTTGAAAAGCCAGGTTTGAATGTCTATTTTACACATTTGTTTCTGTAGATACCTAATTGAATAGGACTGAACTGAAATTTTGTAGAATTGAGAGCACATTAATAAAAATAAAGGAATAAGTAAACGCTATAAATTGCTTTGAAAAAGGGCACACAAATACTTAGACATTGGCTAAGCTCATCCTTTCTCTTCCTCTGCCTGAGATTGAGATTAAATCCTCATACATGTTAGGTACCAGCCCTGAAGAGATTCTTTTACTTTTAAAATGTGTGTGGTGCCCACAGAGGTCAGAACAATTTACACACACCAGTTCTCTCCTTCCCTCGTGTTGGTCATCAAACTTGGTGTTAAGTGGAAGAAAAAAAGGGCTAGAACTGGACTAGAACTTCTCATTCATAGCCTTAGAGTACATGGAAATTTACTAAAATTTTCCCATGAGTAAAGATTGGGAAGGTTTTACCTCTCCTTGGAAAGTAACCTTGCTGCCTCTTACTTTATGCTTGTTAATAGATTTCGCGAATGCTGGCAGCCAAAACCGTTTTGGCTATCCGATATGATGCTTTTGGTGAAGATTCCAGTTCTGCAATGGGAGTTGAGAACAGAGCCAAATTAGAGGCCAGATTAAGAATTTTGGAAGACAGAGGGGTAAGAATCACAACGCTGTGTGTGGCAGCTGTTAAACAGTGTTTCCGTTGAGATGCTTACTCAAATTAGCAAAGAAGTTATCACATGCTGCTTGCTGTATGCCAAACAATAGTATGTGCTGTAGATTTTGACTTAGTAATTTTCATTTCATTTTTCTTCTTAGATAAGAAAAATAAGTGGAACAGGAAAGGCATTAGCAAAAGCAGAAAAGTATGAACACAAAAGGTAAAGTATAAAGTACATTGCAGGATAGAATCACTTGTTAAATGTTTTGACTACCTTTTTATTGTAAGCTCAGTGTGAATAACCCAGAAAGGGGGTTGGAGAGATGCATCAGCAATTAAAGACCATTTGTTCAGGTCATCTTGTTCCAGTTCCCACATGGTAGCTCAGAACTAGGGCCACTTGTGTGTACACACACACACACACACGCAAAGCACTCATACACATAACATGTTTTTTTAATCTGATGGGGTTGGAGCCATGGCTCAGTAGTTCAGAGCACTTAACTTCTGTTGCTGAGGACCTGGGTTTGATACCAATCATCCACATAGCAGCTCTCAACTGTCAGAACACATACACATACATGAAATCCATGACTCTTTAAAATTGCAAATAAAAATCATTTATTTTGCGTGTCAGTATTTTGAAAAGTGTATGCAATTATGAAATCACTAAGTTAAGCATAGCTTAATCTTTTTGTGTTGAATAGTTCATATCTTGAGCAATCTTCAGGAACATGTCTATTATAGTCCCTACCATAATGTCCACATCTATAATTTCTCTTGTCATTTAGTTTTCATATTTGACTTTTAGTTTGTTTGGTTTTTTACATGTATTTGTGTATGTTTGGAGTGTGTGTGAAGGTGGGCAAGCCATGGCACTCGAGGTCAGATGACATCTTTCAGGAGTTGTTTCTCTTCTACCATGTGGTTTCTAGGGATTGAAATGAGGTGGTCATTTCAGGCTTGGTATCAAATGCTTCTTAGAGCCCTCTTGCTGGTCCTTCATAAACATGTATTTAATTCAGTCTCTTCACTTACGCTGTAGTGTGTCATTTATTAATGAAACTTTTTTTTTTCTTTTTTTGGTTTTACGAGACAGGGTTTCTCTGTTTTGTTTTGGAGGCTGTCGATCCAGCCAGGCCTCGAACTCACAGAGATCTGCCTGCCTCTGCCTCCCAAGTGCTGGGATTAAAGGCTTGCGCCACCACTGCCCGGCTATGAAACTTTTTCTTAAAACCACAAGCCAGCCTAAAAAATACAGTCCACACCTATATGTAAATGGATTCTTTGGTTATCATTTGAAGGATGTTTGTAACTTGTGCATCTTTTATGATAAATTGACAGTGTATATCAAGGTCCTTCGGTAAACCACTTTGGAAATGGAGGCAGTATAGCTGGAAATTTATAATACTCATCGTTGCCTCTATAGCAAGTTGGAGGCCAGTCTAAGCTACACAAGTTCCTGTCTCTTAAAAGCAAAATAGCTGGCCTAAAATTAAAAACTATTCTTCTTACTATCACATTTTCTGGGGTTATAGACATATGCTACCATCAATAGGTATGTGGCTGAAGCCTTTACTCCTAGCACTCAGGAGGCAGAGGCAGGCTGATCTCTGTGAGTTCAAGACCAACCTGGTCTACAAGAGCTAATTCCAGGACAGCTTCCAAAGCCACAAAGAAACCCTGTCTCAAAAAAAAAAACTAAAGTAAAAATAGGTATGTATGAATTTTAATGAAATCATAGAGTATAAATGGACAACAATGTTTAATAACAGTATCTATAAGCATATAGAGCCCATCATTGTTAAATGGTAAATTAACAATGTTAAATGGTAAATATTTACAGTTGAGCAGCCATTCATCTACAGCTCTGCTGGACAGAGCATAGCTCATTTTGTTTCATGACACACTTAAGACATCAGCTGTGAGATTTCATATACTTTGTAGGGGATCAGTGTGTCATCCTTTGTTACTTTCCCACTTAGGGAATGAGATTGTGGAACACTTGTGTTTGATGCTTAGTTACCCAGTGATCTATGTAAATTTAATCAGTGCAGTTTTACTTGGAAACTGGTTTCACTTGATTATTCCTTTTAATGCTGTTGTTTTTGTATGTAATAGTAAGTGCCTGGGTTACTAAATCACAATTTATTTGGATCACTTCTTGAGTGTGATTGACTTGCCAAAACTACCCTACAGCCACTAAAGTGAAACAGCATTGTGTGCTTTTGTCTTCTCCAGCAGCATTTGCTTTTTTTCTTGAATATTTCAGTTACAGGTGTCTATAAAGATTTTCCATAATTTACTTGGTTTTTTCAGTGAAGTGAAGACATATGATCCCTCTGGTGACTCCACACTTGCAACTTGTTCTAGAAAACGCAAAATAGAAGAGGTAGATAAAGAGGATGAAATTACTGAAAAGAAAGCCAAAAAAGCCAAGATTAAAATTAAAGGTTAGTTTGAATTTTAAAAAACGAACATTGTACTTTTTGCATTTACTTGTTTGGGGATGGTACAGTATACAGAGAGGACACCTTCTATGACTGAATCCAGAAATTAAAGAGACTCAGGTCTATAGGCTTCCACCCAGTGCCTTTACCCAGTGAGCCATATTGTTGGCCCTAGTTGAAATTTTACATTTAATTACTTGAATAATATGCTCAAATATCTTGATCTTTAAAAACTATGGATTTCTTAAGTATTGAAGAAATATCTACCATTGCATTCGATGAAAACTGGTAATGTTTTATAATGTCATTCTGTTCTTTGTGAAACTAAAATATTGTTAGATTTTACAGTGAATCCTTTGAGCTATTTGTTAAGTGGCTTGTAAATTGGTACCCTGATTTTAGTTACTTGATTAAGAAGAAATGTAGATTGATGCCACAATGATATTCTCCATTCCTTGGTTCATTGGATATACTAGAAGAATATCATTGCAGCATGCTGTTCATTATCAACAAGAGTATCTCAAATGAAGTTGATAATAAGAGCAAGCACCTATTTATTACACCTGATTTTGAGTGCCTCCTAGCATGGCCAGAATAAAACAGATCCAGTGATTAGTTTCTAAATACCTTTGTTGTCAAAAATGTGTTGTTAATAGATATAAAGAATTTGTAGAGAAACTATAAAATATTTGTTTAACTTGTGTTTCTATTTTCCTAATTGAAAAGTTTGGAAAACTAAAACAGAAAACCAAGGCATATATATTCATTCCAGAGTAGTTGCCTTGATCCATTGGCGTTCTCTAATACTCTTGTCTTGGTATCACTATCGTCCATCTTTGACCCCTGTTGAATTAGCCATGTGCAATCTCCCTAACTGCTTCATCTTTAACCTTAGTATTTATTATTGCCTGTTTAGTATATTATTTACTCATGTCTCACCCATATCTCACTGAGTATTTATAAAACTAGGGTCACTGTGGGTGTGAAAATGTGTCTCTAGAGATTAGAGGTCAACATCAGGTATCTTCTGCCTTAGTTTTGTTGTTTTGTGGCAAGATCTCACCAGCTCTGTGATTGTGTAGATTGATTCTGTCTACTTGTTCCCAGCTGTATGGGGTTACAGGCTTGCAGCACTGTGCCTGAGTTCTTACTTGGGTGCTAGACAACATAGCCCAAGTGTACAGTGGGCCCTTAACCTATTGAGCCATTTGTCTACCTTCAGGATCAAACTGTTAAGTCCAATCAAACATTCTTAAGTAGGCGAAGCTACAGAAACTCCTATATCTTGACTTTTTCTAATGTGGATGACTCTTCCAAATTATCAGGCTACATAATCAATTGACCTTTGTTTTAATGCTGACTTCTATTATGTAATAGCTCATCATGAAAAATTACTTCTGGCCGGGCGTTGGTGGCGCACGCCTTTAATCCCAGCACTCCGGAGGCAGAGGCAGGCGGATCTCTGTGAGTTCGAGGCCAGCCTGGTCTACAGAGCGAGTGCCAGGACAGCCTCCAAAGCCACAGAGAAACCCTGTCTCGAAAAATCAAAAAAAGAAAAATTACTTCTGAGGTTGGTCTAGGTTATTTTATGGTTAATGGTATTAGACAAGGAGAGAGACTCCTATTAGAAGTTTCCAATTACAAAATGATCACAATAATAGACACTAGAGAATTGACTATGACAGAAAAGTATTTTAGAGTTTGAGGGAAATAAGTAATACAATTCTAATTCTTCCTGTGCCAGCTGAAGTAGAGGAGGAAGAGGAAGTGGAGGTTGAGGAGGCAGAGGAGGAGGAGGAAGAGGAAGAGCAGGTAGTAGAAGAGGAGCCATCTGTAAAGAAGAAAAAGAAGAAGGATAAAAAGAAACACATTAAGGAAGAGCCGCTTTCTGAGGAAGAGCCATGCACCAGCACAGCAATTCCTGTATGTCATTTTGGTTGTTGGTTTTTGTTTTTTCTTATCTTTTGGGTTTACTGCAGGTAGTTTTAAAAAACCTTAACCATAGATAGTAATAATATGTATTCTAGTCTTGGTCAGAAATAGCAAGGTGTTTTTTAAGGAAAATGTAGTAGAAAAATAAAGCTGCCCAATTGTATTAGAGGCCATTTCTCATTTCATTTTGTTTTGTTTTAAGATTTATTTATCACATATGCAATGTTCTGCCTATAAGCCAGAAGAGGGCACCAGATTGAATTGTAGATGGTTGTGAGCCACCATGTGGTTGCTGGGAATTGAACTCAGGACCCCTGGAAGAGTAGTCAGTGCTCTTAACCTCTGAGCCATCTCTCCAGCCCTCTCATTTCGTTTTTTACCATGAAAAGAATTTGCTGTAAGGGAGGAAGGAATATGGTTTGATTTTGTTTACTGTACTAAGGATTGAACCAAAGGCTTTATGCATGGAAAGTAAGTGCTCTGTACTCCTCCACACCCCAAGCTCACCATTTGTTGAAGCTTGCTTTCCTGGCATTGCAATTATAGATTTTAGTGAAAATTGTCTAAGAGTAGCTTTTATGCACTTCGTAAGGAAAGGTTAATATTCTTATTGGTTATTTTTCAGAGTCCAGAGAAAAAGAAGAAAAAGAAAAAAAAGAAAGAAGCTGAGGACTGATGGGAAGGAACTATAATTCTGTCACCTGGACACATCATGCTTAACATTCAGTTGGGAGCATATCAGATGCTCTATAAAATAATCAAGGGAGGTGAATCCAACCATGATTATCTGTAACTTCTCAATCTGTTTTTGTGTCTTGTCATCAACTGTTAACCTTATAGTCTTTGATATACAAATAAAAATATTTTCTTTGTATTATAAGGCATTTGTGTGATCTCTTTATATTTTAGGTAGAGAATCTTTAGCCCTTTCTATGTTTGACTTGGTATTTATTAGAATTTTATTATAGTTGTTGAAAAGTGAGTTGTCAATGGTTGGAAATTCCAAAATTAGAAATAGCTTTTTTAAAAGTGGTGATTTAGATGGGCCAATTTAAGATCTTGTGGTTTTTCTCTTATTTCTCTCTCTCTCTCTCTCTTTTTTTTTTTTTTTTTTTTTTGGTTTTACGAGACAGGGTTTCTCTGTATTGTTTTGGAGGCTGTCGGTCCAGCCCGGCCTCAAACTCACAGAGATCCTCCTGCCTCTGCCTCCCGAGTGCTGGGATTAAAGGCATGCGCCACCACCCCCCGGCTCTTATCATATTTTAAAACTGACTGTGCAGAATGTTGTTACCTGCTTCAGAAAGGAAGAAAATGGTTGTGATTTTATCATTCACTGCTTTTGATGTATGTTTTTTGAGATGAGGTCTCATGCCTAGACTCAATGTGGAACCAAGAATGACTGAGCTTCTTTCTGATGCTCTGGTCTCTTCTTCCCAGGTGTTAGGATTATAGACATGTGTAGCGATTGTTTTTTAAGATTGAAGAGCCCATCCACAGTTTCATGCCTGTCAAGGACTTTACCAGCTAAACTGTATTCCTCGTTCCAGGCCACCACCACCACCCCCTTTTTTTTTTTTTTTTTTTTTTTTTTTTTTTTTTTCCTGAGACAGGGTTTCTCTATTGCTTTGGAAGCTGCCCTGGAACTAGCTCTTGTAGACCAGGCTGGTCTTCACTCCCTTCCCCCACTTTTAGAAGATATTATGTATGAAGTGTTCTGAGTATATCACCACAGGCCAGAAGAGGGCACCAGATCTCATGGTTGTGAGCCATCATGTGGTTGCTGGGAATTGAACTCAGGTCTCTGGAAGAGCATCCAGTACTCTCAACTGCTGAACCAACTTTCTAGCCCCCATCCCCCTAGTTTTGTTTTGTTTTTCGATTCAGGGTTTCTCTATATTGTTTTGGAGATTGTCCTGGAACTCGCTCTTCTGGCCTCAAACTTACAGATCCGTCTGCCTCCCGAGTGCTGGGATTAAAGGCGTGACCACCAACACCGGCAGTTCCTTATTCTTAAAGGGTAAAATGAAATGGTTCTTAGTTTAAACTCTTGTGTTTGTGCTGGGGATGGGAGCCCAGAACCTCACTTCTGAACTGCATCTTCAGTTCCTTGGCTCTGTGCGTGTGGGTGTATGTGTTTTGCCTGCTTGTATATGTGTGTGTACTAACTACATGCATGCTTTATGCCTGTGGAGGGCAAAAGAGTTCATTGGCTCTCCTGGAACTAGTTATGGATGGTTTTAAGCCAGGTCCACTGTAAGAGCAGCAAGTGCTCCTGACTTCTGAGCCAGTACGTTAAGCCCCTAATGATTTTTATGGTAAACTTACTTTCTGTAAAGTATAAAAATAATTCATAATGCCATAAAAACTTTGACGCACAGCTTCAGGGCATTATGTCCCATTTATTAGTCATTGTTTTGGGGTTTTGTTTTAGGATCTCACTATGTAGCTGTGGCTGGCCTACAACTCACAGAGCTCTACCCCTGGAGTGCTGAGATTAAAAGCCTGTGCTACCACCACCTGACCTGCTTTTTCAGCTTTAAGGATTGAGAACATGTCTACCTAGCACACGAAACAAAAAACATGGTGTGCTGTTTTGGTGAATTTTATGTTTAAATACCATATTTGAATTTATTTCTTTGATTGGGCTTGACTGAGCTACGAAGCTTTCTGTCCTTGGTATTAACCAAGCCTCGTGTGCCCAGTAATAATTTTGAAAATGATTCCCCAAGGTCTGACTTATGCTGGTACAACCAAAGAAATTCTAGTGCTAAGCTTGTTAACCATTTCCCTGAGTTCTCAGAAAATGCAGCCTTCAAAACTGAAAGGTGAACTTTAGCATAATTTTGAGTATGTCTCCTGAAAGTAGCCAAAGACCAACATGCTCATAAGTACAGCCCTGCATGGCTGCTAGTCGAGTGTCAAGGTAATTGAGCACCTTGGCCATGAGTGAGAGGACAGTTCTGTGCTGTCACTTTTCAGAGCTGATTCACGATCTTACTGCTAGTTGATCACCTTGTACAGCCTTGTGTGCTGAAGATGGAGGTTTCTGCCCCGCCTGGGCCCACAGCTGCTTTCCCCCAAATAAACACACGGACCCTGTATTAATTATAAAACTGGGGTGAAGCCTGATCAGAGGGCTGGCAGCAAGTGCAAGCCAGGATCCTAACAGTGGTGTCTTTGCATTGGGAGAAGCTGTTGCGTGACATGGACCCACAAGAAATAGATGTCTGGCTCCATTCTCTGCTGGTGAAAATAGATGCCATTGAAAATAAAACCACTGCATATAAAATTGGAAGCCTCACTGGATATTGTCAACAGATGGGTTGGGCTAAACGCAATGTGGGCCACCATTGCCACCAAAACAATCGTGTAGTAGATGTCAGTTCAGTAGACAACCACCCAATGTTGCAGAGAATCCTAGAGACAGACTCACTTCAACAAGGCCAGGCTTTAGTGTCTGCCTTGAGTAAGAAAAAATTGCAGAGGCGTTCAGATAAACTCGCCAATAAGTTGTCTGATTCCATGATGGCTATGCTTGACCTCTCTGGCAACTGCGACGACACTGCTGGTGACCAACTGATCTTCCCCCCCTCATACTCCAAACAGTGATTCCTATGGGGATGGGATTCTTTTTCTTTTTTTTTTTTTTTTTTTTTTTGGTTTTTCGAGACAGGGTTTCTCTGTGGCTTTGGAGGCTGTCCTGGAACTAGCTCTTGTAGACCAGGCTGGCCTCGAACTCACAGAGATCCGCCTGCCTCTGCCTCCCGAGTGCTGGGATTAAAGGCGTGCGCCACCAACGCCCGGTGGGGATGGGATTCTTAAGGCATTCTGTTCTCCCTGATGTGCCTACATAGTAGAAGAACACTGCCCATACCATGCATCTTCTGCACAGTGCCTTCCATTGTCATCAGTTCAGAGTCTCAAAGGTCTGGAGCTGCCAAACCCCAGTGCCCTCCACTTAATTATTACTGTCTTTGAGAAAATAACTTTTTGCTTGTTTTTGTGGTGCCAAGAATTGAACCTAATAGGTCCTCACACATGTTAGACAAACATTCTATTACTAAGCTGTATCATTATTACTATCATCACCATCATCCATTATCATTGGAGAAAGACTTGCTACAGATTCCATTCTGCTTACTCAGCCTCTCAAGTAGTGGGATTACTGGCTTTTGCCACCACTCCCAGCTCCCGCTGTGTTTTACAAGATAAAATATCAGCAGTATCTTGGCATGGTAGCTACATTCCTGTAATCCTGGCACTTGAGAGACTGGAGCTAGGGGGGTTGCAAGTTGTAGGACAGCCTGGACTGTCTGACAAGACCCTTTCTCAGCAGAACAACCCAGAACAAGTGAGAGCTGAGGCAGTGGTGACGCATGCCATTAATCTAAGCATGTAGGAGGTAGAGACGGGCAAATCTCTGAGTTGTAGGTCAGCCTGGTCCAGGGCTACACAGAGAAACTCTGTCCTGAAAAACCAATAAGTAAATAAATAAAATTGTAATTGTTAAAAAAATATATAAAACTGTTACTTGATTGCTAGGGTTTCTTAATGGCTCGCTCTGTCTAAATTATTAACCATAACTATGTATAAATCTATGTATTTCTACGTGGCCTTATCTTACTAGAGAACACCTGGTGCATCCTATCTTTCTGGTCTCTTTTTCAGTCTTTCTGCTGTCCTTTTCCCAGCATTCTCCTCATCTCCTAGCCTCCCCTATCTTCCTGCATCTATTGGCCAATCAGTGTTTTATTCATCAATAAGAGAAACATGTATACAGAATAACATTCCCCATCAGTATGCCTTAAGAGAATTTTATATTTTCATCCAACCTTGGGTCTAGTTTCCAGCACGATACCAAACATTCAGACCGGCACGTGCCCTGGCTCTACCTTTTGGAGCTTATAGGGACTTCTTTTGTTGTTGTTGTTGTTGTTGTTTTACGAGACAGGGTTTCTCTGTATTGTTTTGGAGGCTGTCCGTCCAGCCCGGCCTCGAACTCACAGAGATCTGCCTGCCTCTGCCTCCCGAGTGCTGGGATTAAAGGTGTGCGCCACCCTGCCCGGCTTATAAGGGTATTCTTTTCCTTAACTCTACATTCACTCCACTTCAAAAACAGGAAGGAGGAGTGGGAATTACCCAGCTCTTGCCTTGCAAGCATGAGGATCCCCAGAAGACAGGATCTTTTAATTTCATGACCAGGGATGCCAAAATGGGTTGCTCAACCAGCCTAGCCTACTGGGTGAGTTCTAAACCATCGGAAGAACCTGTCCCAACTGAGAAAGATAGACAGTGCCCCAGGAGCAACATGAAAGGTGGTGGGTCCTCTGGCCGAGACATGTATACACCTTCACAAACATCATTGTGTACAGACATACATACATCAAAAACAAAGTACCTTGGATGGTGGACTAGACCATCCAGTAACCAGAAAGGCTAATTGTAAGCATTAAAGTTTGGAGCCAGCCTGGGCTGTTTCTGGTAAGTGAGACTGTCTCAAAAGGTTTTTGAGAGGGGACATGAGAGTACTGATCTTCTTTTTTTTAATTTTTTTATTTTAATTTTAAATAGCTTGTTTTACATGTCAATCCCAGTTCCCTCTCCCTCCTCTCCTCCTGCACCTCCCCTTCTTCCCCCCAGCCTCCCACCCTATTGCCAATTCCTTCCACATAAGGGATATCTAGAGTCTGTCATTTCACTCAGGGTAGGGTCCAGGCACTCCCCTAAGAGTCCAGGCTGAGAGAGCATCCCTCTTTGTGCTATGGGCACATGATGTCTGTTTGTATTCCAGGGATAAACACTGATCCACTGCTCAGGACCCCATAGGTTGCCCAGGCCTCCTCACTGACACTCACATTGGGGGGTCCAGATCAGTCCCAT